ATTGGCATATACACATTCACTATTGCTGTGTTCTTGTGATAAGGACCTCTTCAAAATGTTAAGGATAGCCTGGTAGCAAAACTGATATTCCTCCTAAAACGAAACCGAAAGGACAATGAACATTCTTACCTTAATCTCACAAGAGCTCACAAAATAATCCGTTCAAAATTATAGAACGGAGACGAATTTATCAATTTTTGCAATTATATGCAATATTTGTGATATGTATGAGCCTCTAATGCTCTCCATTACAGGATATGGTCTGGACACGAATTAAACATTTTCAATACATGTTCGTGACCTTGAATTGAATTACCTTGGGCTGAGTCATAAGTAATTTTTGTATGAAGTATGAACTTTCAATGTTTCTCCATAAAGAAGTTGTAAACCTGACAAGAATTTCATACTTTATCTTAGGCCAACGTCCCTCTGGTCAAACAATTTTTGTACCTAGTATGATTACCAATGGTTCTCCACTACAAAGTTGGAGCCCGAACCTGATTGAAGGTGACAGACGGACAGACAGCTACAGGGACAGTCAGACGGACAAGGTGATTCTTATATACAACCTCTAAGCTTCGTTTGCGGGTGTATAATAAAATTCGAAAGCATTTTTACCGGATTGTTGGTTGATTTCAAGACTGATTAGTGTACGTATTCATGAAATGGGACATTAATTAAAAGAGGTATAACACATACTGGGAGCATAAATCTTATGATTTTGAAATTTCAAAAAACTGAATTACAGTAGTAAAATTTTGATTGACTTGCTAATAGATAGTTGTTAGCATATTTAGGTACTTTAACTCACCAAGGTAGAAATCATTTCCGGTCGCCGTATTTGCAGCTGCCTCACTATTGAGAACATGTCCATCTCGTCGTCCTGTTGTAGTTGTTGTAGGGCGTTATAAACACAACAAAACACGCCACATCCAGTTGCCCCATCCCTAAGTGAATAAGACAAATTTCACATGTGTGTAATTGTTGTACAATAACTATTTCTAAATACATGTAACAATTTCATTTTCTTTCATTAGAGAATCAGTTTTAAATTTTAACTGTAATTACAAGATCAAGCAATGTAATGTATTAATCCTTTTCCGCCTTTGTTTTCTTTATTGTGAAAAAGGACATTTATATCATTACCCTTTTGAGCAAAATAATCGGACATGCAATCAAGTTTTCCTTGAATTATATACTGCACTAGATGAAATCCCGCGCAAGCGCGGGAAATTAAATTTATACCACTACCGACATAAAATATATTGTAGTTTCTACTGACACAGCCTACAGGATTATATCAGGAAAAAATCCCACATGAACTTGATAATTATACAATGTACGTCTCCCCCCCCCCTTTTTTTTTTGTAAAAACTCGAAAAATAACAATTTCATTAATTGACGTTTATTGTGAAACCTGTTATACTATGTTATTGATATTGTACTTCTGATGCTCTTATTTCATTTCTGTCAATGATAAAGCAGCGAATATGTACATTTTAATGATAAATTGATTTGGGGGGGGGGGGTAAAATGAACCGGTACTTGGGTCTTGGTTTATAAATATGTATGTACTTTATTGGTAAGTAAATAATGTACTTTACTTTCTTTACTTTTACATATAAATAAGGTACATACATTTTTATAACCCAAGACCCAAGTACCTGTGTAAGAATTAGCTTTTAACACCCTATGAATAGGCCGAGTATTTTATACTAAAGACTGTATTCAGAAAAAAAATGAAATGTATTGATTCAAGCACAACATTTTACAGCTTTAATTGTATTTGAACAATACCTTATTCATTAATTTTCTCTTTTCATGTAAGCAAGTTTATTACGAAGTACAAATAGTACTTCGGTTTGTCTTTCGATATATAAATATATTCACAACTTAAAGTGTTATCAATGATTTACCATTATTTAAATGACCATTCACAGTTATTTCAAACAAAAGTTTTTTTAATGTTCACGCAGCGTTTTTCTTTATAACATCGGGCTCGATGCTTTATGATGTTCTAGAAGCTTCCGTCAATATCAAGATCGGTGAACGATGAAAATAATTTTCACATTTCCCTTTTTAATCGGTTATCAGAACTTATTTCTTTTATATCATTTAAATCAAGTTTTGATTGAATAATGCAGTGATGACTTTTTATGAAATAAATAAACGATTGCTTGTTGTCAGTTTCATTAAACATTGCCAGTAACTTAGATCCGCCAACCGGAAACGCCACCGTACTCACGTTTTTGCTATTTCATGGCTGTGTATAGAAAATGAAAGTAGACTTTTAATTTAATGTACGATACTTACTATGCGAGTGAAATCTAAATATAGTTTACGGACATCAGCTTGTATCTAGTGTATTGTTAGAGGAGTAAGTAAGAACTCTGGTGCAGCCGTTTCAGAGTTTATTTGCAAAATTTATTAATTTATAAGTATAGATGATGTACTTAAACAACTGCATCAAAATTACCACATGTTAGCAATGTTTTCTCTAAATATATATTCGCATCAGTGGCATTCAAGACAAATCTGATAAAATTTGGATGAAACATTATACATTTAATGGCATTTTCTCTCTTTTGATGATGATGATTTGCGTATGATCGTGTAGAGTGTTCAGGAACCCTTTTGCTCAATACTAGTACAGTGAAGGTAGAGTGATACCTACTTTATGCAGCAAACACTTACTTTGATAAAATTGTAATAGGTGTTTTGTTTGATTGGACTGCTTCTTCCATTTGTATACATCTTACGACGTCAGATATAGTGTCCACATTCGAAGGCAATGATTCGCTTATTTTCCATGACTGTAGTTCAAAAACATGAACTCTGTACACGTAATCTTGCTATGGAATAAAGTGTTTCATTAAATGTTTTTTAGAGAGAGCTTTGAATTCATTTTTATTACATTTATAAGACAAAACTCTAGATTACTGAAGAGACATTTATTATATGTACATCTATAGAGAACTAGAATCCAGATGCATTTTATAGCATTATTTATGGATTTATACTTGGATGTTTCACTCAAAAATGTAAATTTTTGTAAAAAGAAAACTATGAAATATTGTACATTACAATAAAACAAAAAGTTGTTTTGATGGTTATATAGAACAGGCACTTACGCTTGTATGACGAACTTCAAAACAATGTTTTTGACTTGTTGAAGTAACTTTTGACGTGTCTTTTTTGAAAATTTCAAATGGATGTAGTGTCGTCTTCGTTTTAGTGAACCATTCACTCGACTGTAAAATGGCATTTTGAATTAGAAACTAAATATAAATGTTCTTTTTTATACATTGAGATTCATCAACGATCATAGTTAAAATTCTGAAATTGATTGTAAATGTCGCAGTTAAATTATCATAAGCCTACAGAAATACCTTTCGAAGTTAAACTCATGAAACTTGATTTAAATAACTCTGACATGTTTCTACATATAAAAATAATGAAAATGTAATTTATAAATTGTACCTATATTTCTACCTTTAACAGAAAATATATAGAAAAATCATTGCAGCTCTGTACACTAAACAGAAGATATACTCCTTTTTATTTTTGTGCGATTATTCAAATGTTCAAGTTGCTATTAACAAGCTAATCCTTTTTAAAAAGATAACTGAGCCAGCAGTACTTTTATTTTTGGACTATTTGCTGAATCGTTTGATCATAAAAATATGTTGACAGTGCTCCAATGAAGGGTGAGGAGGGAGAGAGGAGGGAGTCAATTCAGCTTGGTGAATTCACATCAGGTTGACATTGTGCACAGTTGTACGTCTGTGTATCCAATATAGAACCAGAAAAGTGATTTATGTTTTGTTTTATTATTGCAATTTGTATAAGTGAAAAAAATAATGATTTTAAGAAATTGATGGAGCTAATGAGCATCCACACTTCCAGTTTGATACCGTTTCGCAGTTTTAAAAAAAGCACAGGATCTTAAATACGACATTTAGAAAATATATTATTTCCGAGAAGCTGTAGTCTTGGCATTATAGGGCTTAAGTTTCCTTTTCTGTACAGATGAGACGACAAAACCACGAGTCTATGATATTATGTATTTTCAAATGATAGTACCAATCTGACATGATATTTTACTCTGAAATCGAGCATACAGATTCCAGTAAAACTGACTAACGCAGCTGCTAGAGATCGAGAGCAAGTTACATTTCGGTTTACTATTAAAAAGAACAATTAAACATTTTACAATAATCTACATGTAATTTTACTGATTATCCGCCTTACCGATGCTATGTCCGACAGAGAGTTTACAAACACCACAGTGCTGGATTGATGGTCCAGTAAAAGACGAAACAGATCTACGGTATTCCCAGGCAGAGGGTACTGAGCGGCAATTAGCAAATCCCTATCCGAAAATGTCTAAAATACAATTAATGTTAAAAATATATTAAAAAAAAAAAAAAAAAAAAAAAAAAAAAAAAAAAAAAAAGAATAAAATTCAGAAAATATCTTTAAAGAATTATTTTTTCAAAAGAATATTTAAAAAACTAAAAATTATATATTAAAAAAATTTAAAAAGTATTCATTAACTTGAATATCGTGATTTTACGTGCAGATCCAGTTCAAACAAATGTTTATAAATATTTCACGTTACACTCACATTTAAAAGTACTGCATTATAGTAACTGCTCCTTCCCTTCACAGATGACGTCAGATAGGCCACGTATTTATCAACTTTTAATAAAATGTAAGGTTTTGCTTCAATTTACACTTTATTGTCTAATTAACAGCGTTCAAATTCTCTGCTTATGTGTCTATTGTAAAACATATTTGCAATATAAAATCTAATATAGAATTAAAACTTCAGTTGAAAGGTGCTGCACTCTACAGATCGTAATTTGGGGTAATTACATGTAAGGGTCCGATGTACCAAAAATGAATAATCGGATTCACTTAAACAGATCCATGGGCCAAAATGCTCATATTTCAATTGTTATATCTAAAAGACCTAATGAATACAAAACTTCGACCACCTGGTAGTATATTCCTTGTCATATTGAGCTCTTTGTGTACGTTTCCCTCCTTTTTGTCATCAGAACTGTATGTTCTCTTGATTGTTTGAAGCTCCTAGAATGAAGAATAGCATTAATCTTTTCCGTTAGTGATGATTGTATACTAGTACAATGTATAATTATGCTTATCAATGATGTACCTTTTTCATATAAAATAAAAATAAAATAAAATGTTCATCTTATCCTCTACGTACACATTTGATGAGAGGACTTGGAGGCGATGTTTCAAACAATGATATTTTTGATTTTTGGGAAAGAACATAAATATGACCAATTTATTCCTAATTCATATACACATATACCTTATACTGAGACTGTAACCATTGAGGCGTGACGTTTGCAGAACCATATAATCCTCCAGAGTCACTAATTAAATTGTCTTTGGATATGGTATCACTCTTTCCATTGAAGGACTCAAAGAGTGCATTATACAGTTCAATGTACTGTTCCTAAAATGAGCAAACAAATTTTCATATACACTTTCTGATCTCCAAATCAATTAGGTTACTTAAAATAGATACAAATAATTCTAATAGTTATCCTGAAGATGTTGTTAAATTTTGTAGCAGTTTATTTCAGAAGAAAAAAATCCAATTGAACTAAATCACTTTGTGTATTTCTTTCTCAATATTGACAATTACTTGTTTTTCATTTTAAATTTCCGCCCTTTCTTTTGCATATACAGGTATATGTCATATGGTAGAATATATATATGGTTACAAACCAAATATTATTTATGATATATTCTACAAAGGGTTTCACTTCAAGCTACTTTACACATGCCCAGAAGTCCTTAAAGGTGAATATAGATAGTAAGACTAAATTTATTTTTCTATATCATTCAAGATTTACATACACAGTTCTGCACCATACTCATTCTGTCCTTCCTCATCATTTTGACATATTTCTGTATATTGACGGCCCCTGTCTCCAGACCGTGCTGATACAGAGCGTCAAGTGCTATAAATGTGCCTGTTCTCCCTATCCCAGCACTAAATGTAAGCAAAAGATCATAATATTGCTGGGGAAAAAGAGAATTTAAAGAAGTCTTTTAGACAGTTTAATTTTTTTTTAACCCAAAATAAAAATTAAAACAAAACGAAAAAATAGGTAAAATTTAAAGATAAATAAATTTAATCAATAAGATAAAGGAATGACAATTTATCTTCAACATGACTTCAACGGATTTCCACATTTTAGTCTGTGCAGTGATACACTAAAAGAGGTAAACATATTTCGCCTTTTTTAAACGTGTTCCCCCTTTTTATAATTATAAATCATTAAATAATGACCTGCAATGAACAAGAAGAGGGCTGTCTTCGTAGTTTTCTTGGATCCGCCTCACGTGTTTTTGGAAGACTGCCAGACTCACTGGGTCTGGCACACCATGATCCGGCCACTGTGTGTAGTGAAACTGGGTCACGACACGAGATGATCTCGACTTTAAATTTAGTAAAAGACAATTAAGGATCAATCCTCTTTATTTACTTTGTACTAGAGAGTTTTATGGTATTTTTATACATTTAGATTCATTACTAAATATTGAAATCTTCATCGTATTACTTTGTATTCTATTCATTTCAAACATTCATAACATTTTCTTTCATAAAAATAAAATTAGATGAACACTTTCTTCGGATATATTCCCCCAGTGCAATTAGAAGCAGAGATTTCTGTTCATAAAAGGTGTGATATTATCTTTCAAGTTTTTCGTTTTTTTTTTTCCGGAGGCTGGTACGTTATGTTGAAAATTAAAATGATAAACTCAGTATTTATTGCTTTATACCATGTAAATTGCTTTATGTCATGTAATCTTGCACACTGCTAAGTTTGCGCGATTATATTTAAATATAGACCATGACTGAGTAAATTTTAAAATTCAAAAAAATATACATGTACATGTACGTTAACTTACAAGTGTCAACAGTTTAAACACTTCGAATTTCTAACAACATCATGTAGATGAATATCCTATATGCAACAAATAATTGTATTTTTACATTTCTTGTATGTCTTAAAAATTGTACATGCCCTTGGAAATGAAAGAGTACATATAAATTTTAAATAAATGAAATAAATAATATTAAAACAATTTCCAGTTGTTTGTACAATGTGTTTCTTGCAGACGTCGTTTTAAATATAATTAATTGATTGAACGCTGTTCCATTCGTATGGCCGACATAGCTCTTTCTGTCAATTTTTAAAATTTATTCCTCGCGGTCTTTTTAAATACTATTTTACAATCTGCCCAATTAACAATATTAAGGATAAAATTGATAATATTAATACAGAAAATCCGATAACAGCTTTCTTTCTTTTTTTTTTTTATTTAGCTTTGGCTTGTTTTATGAAGAAAATTTTGTAATCAGTTAAATCTAAAAACTTTATTTCATAGTTTATGACAATTTAAACCTGTACCATGAGCACTATCTGCGACCATAAAAAAAGTCGATTAAAAAGAAATATTAAGTTAAAATCGTCAATTTTTTCTAACTTTTTTTGGAACAAATATTTAGCATAATTTTTGTAAACAGTTTGACAAAACCTTATTTTCCACGAACGTCAGAGACAATCCTTGCATTCATATGAAATGTTAAGTAACTTTAAATTAAAAAAAAATCACTGGAATGATCGGCACGAATATCTATATAATTTTGGCACATAATTATTAATCAACATATAACGAGAGAAAAAAATAGTTTAAAGAGCTACAGGATCTTAATTTACCACATTATGTAGGCAAACAAAATAGAAGAAAAACTACCTTCTCTTTAGTTACCTTGGTAGAAATTACTTCTAATATCCTGGTCACATAGTTGGCATATTGTTTTTCTTGAAGAAGCTTGATTTTTATTTCGCCGAACACCATTTCCATTTCTAGGTCAGGCCAATACTTATCACATTTTTTCTGTCAAAATAAATCATTTATATATATAAAATATAAAATAAACCAATTTTTGGTACAGTAAAATATTGATATATCCAATGAAAAAATCAAGAATCATAAGACTCGAATAATCATTTTAACTGTGAGCGCTTTCTGCCTTTTAATGGCTCTTCAGACAGTTTATATATATATATATATATATATATATATATATATATATATATATATATATATATATATATATATATATATATATAAGTGACTTTGAAAGAATCATTTTTTATCCTATTAACTCTGATGACTCTATTACACACATTACACATACATATGTAGCATGAGTCTGACTTGAGAATATAGTAAGAAATCTCTCAATTATTTTGGATTAGAGTATATTTAAGAATAGAATTTAGTGGCATCTTTTAAAAATATTTTCCTCATGAACCATTGTGCCAAAAAAGTTGAAATTTAAGTTTATTTTAATATCATGACCATAAGAGGTAGGAAGGGACCACACCTGAGGAATTTACATTGGAATACACACGAAAAACACTTAAAAAATACTCTTCTAAAACAGCAATACCATGATTATTCACATTGATATAAAATTATCCTCAGGTAGTGTAGATTTAACTTTTGTCCAAATCAAGAATCCCGGGAGTTGGGTTAGGCCACAATAGGTGATCAAATTTTTAGATAGGAATTTATACGAAAATTTAAAAAAAAAATCCTCTTAAGAACAACCAAGCCATGATTAGTCACACGAGTCATATGAGATTGGAAGCATCTTAGGCTGGTGTAGATTCATTTTTGTTTAAACTTGATCCCCATGGTAGGGTGGAGCAAAAATGGGGGATGGAAGTTTAACTTATTAGGAATATATACGAATTTTTTTTTCTGAAATCTTCTCAAGAACAGCAAAGCCATAATGAATCATAATAATACGGAGGCACCCTCAGGTAGTGTTGTTTCAAGTTTGTACAAATCATGGCCCTCAGGGGTAGGATGAGGACAGAATAAGGGGGTCAAATTTTTACATAGGAGTTTATAATTAAAAATCTTCTCAATAACAGAATGTCTCCGATTAATCATATTCAGGTAGTATAGATTCTAGTTTGTAAAAATCTTTACCCCCGGGAGTGTGGTTCGGCCACAGTGTGGATCAAAGTTTAGCATAGGAATATATAGGACAAAACCTTTAAAAGTCTTCTCAAGAAGAGTCAAGCCATGAGTCATACTGATATAGAAGCAACATCAGGTAGTGTAGATTCAAGTTTGTTCAAATCCTACACCTCCATGGATAAATTGGGGCCACAATGAGGGATCAAAGCTTTACGTAAGAATATATAAGAAAATATTTTAATAAATCGTCTTTTGACAAAGAGCAGAGCCATGATAAGTCATATTGTTATGAAAGTATCTTTAGGTAGTGCAGAATCATGTTTGCTCAAATCATGATCCAAAAGGATAGGGTTTAATTTTGTGGAATCCGTCTGTGTCACTAGAGCACGCTGAAAAACTCGCTGTCATTCGAAGTATTGCAAAAGACAATGCACAGGTGAAAGCAGACAAAATGACGACATCCGCTAACGCAAATTCAAAAGAAATAACCATTAAAGAAGGAGACTATGTATACCTTCAGACGGTACTATCTGGAGAGGGCCAGAAATTTCAGAATCGATTTAATGGTCCATATGTCGTCGAAAACTTACCGAGCGCACATATTGTGGTATTACGAGACCCAACTGTCAACAAGCTTCTGAACCCTGTACATCGAGATAGGATCAAAATCGCTTATGTCCGTGAACCCACTCCAGCAAATTACTTTACAGTTACAAAATGTGTTACACCTAAGACGTACAAATCCATCGAAACACAAACGGATCAGCAACATGTAACTCGCAAGTCCGAAAGAAATCGACGAAAACCAGCCAGATTTCGCGGCAGTGATCATGTGGATCCGAATAACTTACCATTCTTTTCCGTTTCCAGTGACACAGACGGATTCCACAAAATTAAACGTGTCGTGTCTTAGGAAAACGAGATTCAAAATATTTAGTGTAAATTGTTGGTGAACCAGCCGACAATGCAATTTGGGTTCCTCTTTCGGCACTAAACGCTAAAGCTAAACGCGCCATTCAAACAAGACCGCCGCCTACTCTGTGACTTGTACTCTGTATTAATATGATAAAAAAAAATTGCATGTCTATTTGTTTTGTCGATATATGATTTTTTTTTTTTTTTTGCTGCAGAATATATTTGTATTTGTCTGTTTGTTTGATCTGTATTAATTTACTGTGTGTTTGATATTATCGAATTTTTACACTGTGCATGTACATGTGTTCTATTCCCAAAGGATTACATCTTCCAAAATTGTTGAAGACGGAAGAAATGTAAGATATATTTCTAGTGGGGAAAATACAATTTGTTTTTGTTGTGTTATCCTCGATGTATGCATCGACAAGGATTAACAATTATTACACAAATTTCAATTGTATTGAGAGTGTTACAATTTCTAGGATGCAATAATTGTGGCATTCGATTCGTTATTGTGAAACGTAAGTTTTGTTTGGGTTTGATATAGTAATTGCTTTCTCTAACCAAGGATGTTTTATTCCGACAGGGTTATATCTAATGCAATTCTATAGTAACTAAAAATTGTGACTTGCAGCTACAATATAATGTATTATTATATCTCATTTTTATTTGAAATTGGTATGATTTACTCTAACCGAGGATGTGTTATTCCAACCAGGTTATACTTCAACCAATTTAATTAATCTGTGGTATGTGAATTTTTTTTCCCCCCAATTACTTATTATAACCGAGGATGTGGTATTATGACAAGGTTGTTTATATTTAGTAATAATTGTGCGAGGAAGTGAAGTTAGTTACTTCATGTACTTACAAATTTGTGATGTTCCGCAATGAACAGCTGAAAGTTAATAATCATACCACTGCAGCGTAAGGTGTGTGCATCCTAAAGTACAATGGCGCCCTGTACTGTGTGAGTTGATGAGAGAGTCCATGAGTGACATGATCATTTTCTTTTGAGTTTTGTTTATTGCCGACTTAGGATAAAACGATCATTTTTTTTATCATCTTGTACTGTAATGGATGACTGCTTATTTTTTTTATTTTGTGTATTATCTTCATTGTCTTTATCCTGTTTAATGTTTCAATTGATTGTAAAATTGAATGTCATTTTTTTTAAGGGGGCGCATGTTGTATACATGTGTATATTTTATTGATAAAGACAACTCATTAGATATTTTCTTCATGTACTTATAATGAATTAGGCATTGTTTAAATATTTTTTTAGACTTGCTGAAAATCTGTAATTGATATTTAATTGATTTGTTTGATCTTAAGAAAGAGCATTACCGCACGTGTTTTGTAATTTCTCATCTTGACATCTCTCTCTCCCGTCCCACGGTATCGATGCCATTCGCTTATAATTATTATCAAATTTATGGTCAGATCTGAGACCAATGTTTCTTTGAATTTGTTATGCTTACTTAAACTGTTTCCTGTCCTGTAAATAATGTCATTGAGCTTTCCCCTAATTTTACTACTGTCTTTAAACTTGTTTCATTGGTTCATTTATGAAAAGTGGGAGGAGTTGTCAAAGATGAGAAAGTGCGTGAGTTTGTCTGTTGTTCACTCTCACTCTCTCTCTCTTTACAAATTTTTGTGTTAAAATGTAGTTTTTGATTTGTACTTTTTGGACTTGAATAAATTCTAAACTTTAACCAGGAATTATTATTTACAAAACAACGTAAACATTACACTCATCTTTTAACATTTTCTTCTTAAGAATAGCCATTTGTCGTCATATGAATATGGTAGTAGCATGCTCAAAACGTTTAGATTGAAGTTTGTTTAAATCATAACGGGGGGAGGGGGGTAGGTTAAGGTTACAAAAGGAATCAAAGTTTTACATAAGAATATATATAAGAGAATAATCTGTTGATGAAGAACAGCAGGGCCATTTTGACTCGTGAGCTTTATGGCCCATTGGCCTCTTGTTATCTCATAAACCAATCAATCTGGGGTTACCTTACCTTTATACCTTCAACAAGGTTTGTCAGCATAACAATAACAGACACATTTTCTTGCCATATCATATTCCAGTGGTCAATCAACGTGTTGAGTTTAGGTCCTGAAATAAAAAAAATGTCAAACTCTTGAAAGAGTGATGTTTAAATCACAGGAAACTATTCAATTGTTTAGCGACTTATTCAAGTACGTTTTAGCTCTGTGAGTGAACACAGAAGATACGAGGCGAGCAAATATGGGAGAAAAAAATCAACATTTATAGATTGAAAAATAAAACAACCCACAATAAAGTGTTTCCCAAGGCTTCACGCAGGTACGTTAAGGCTTCCCAGAGAATATTGCAGTGTACTCTATGCCTTCACTTCTCTGAACTACAAATGTATGACGTCATAATTGAAAATGACGTCAATTCACTGCAAACTTAAGCTGTTATGATGGGGAGAGTGTCATAAACTTTACACCTTATTTCAATCTACATATAAAGTATCAGAAAGGTAGTGTAAAATAAACGTGTTTTAATCTTTTTTTTAAAAATCTATGAACAATTCAAATCAGTAAACAGAAAAAACTGGCCTCTGGAAATTCCAGAGGTTGGATAATGTGCATAGAAGGAGTAAACATCCCCTGTTTACCGGTCACATATGCCGTGAGTCCTATGTATCAATCAGGTAGACAGAAACTCTATAGTTATATTTAGTATAAAAACAATAGACTTACAGTAAGAACGGAATATGTCAGTCATAATACGACCGAATTATATTGTTATATTTGCAAACACGATTATTATAACGACCATTTTTTTACGATGTTAGACATAAATAAGACGAAGTATATGTCAGCACAAAAAATCCTTCATTTTTAGTAAACATTATTATTACAATTGTGTAAAAACTGTTTAAATATATAATTCTGATCCTGAAAGTTCCGAAATAATTGCTACTCTACAAATATGTTTAAATTTTAAATATAAATATTTTACATTAGTATTACAATAAAAAAAAAGTAAATGTGAAGGAATTATTGCCCTTAGCAAACTTTTTTTTTTTAGAAATAAATTATTTGATTAATTATATTAACTAAACATTATTTTCATTAGACCTATTGAAAAGCATTCTTCCAAAAGATATTTTTCTATTGTGTGTGAATTTAAATTATTATAAGTTTTTGCAAAAACCTAAGACATCACAGAAGGATTGAGATATCTTACTTGTCAGTAGCTTGCCTCAGTTTAAAAATTAATTGTTCTCGTATCATGCACTTGAGTATTTAATAAATATTGGAATATTACTACATAAATAAGGTAAATAAGAAAAAACGAAGACTTAATCATCATCGTTTTTCAAACAGTGTCATTGTTAGCTGGCCCTTATCGTCAATAGTCAGTAAACATCCAAATATGAAACAGATGTTGCAGAGAGCTCATCAGAATTCCAAACATTGCTGGAAGAAAGACTAAGACTACATAAATGTTCTCAATGGGGAACTACAGTATCCTTCTAATATCAATACAGCATCTGTGTGTTGAATAAAACTGATTTTGTTTTTTAAATTAATTAATTTTAATGATTGACCAGTCACAAGATAAGATAAAATTTCCAAGTTCCATTATAATCCAAAAAACAATTGTCGATAAAAGCCTACTTTTTAATTTATCATCAGGAATGGTTGTTTAATGTATAGGAATTTCATACGTGTTAATTTTACCAGCTTGAAAAATGTTTTGTTTGTTTGTTTGTTTTTTTGGTTGAGTTTTTGATTCAAACTTTTTCCAAATATGCTGAAGATAGAACATCCGAAATTATTCTTCACGGCAGTTAATTTTCTTTTTTTTTTTCTTTTTTTTTTTTTTTTTTTTTTTTTTGTAAGGAGTAAGGATAGGGGCTTGGATAGTGCAATCGCTGGACAAATCAATGAATCTTTGTAATGATGTTTATGAAGTTTAGAAATACACTATAGGTAGGGTAAATCGATTTCACTCTCTTTGACGTGAATGTTAAAAGTTTGCAAGACTGAACGTGATTTTGTAGAATTTCACCCTTAAAACATGAACTATGAGAATAAGTGGGATTTCAAGACGTTGAATTAAAGCCAAGATCTTCTAAAACACAGTTGCAATAATCACCTCTGCGAACATTTTCACAGGCTTTGTCGAATGGAACCGTTGCATATTGTTCATGTAGTATATCTGATTCTTTTTTTACGTCCAAGTAAGTAAAAACGGAAGGATAGATGTTTTGTCTTCAATTTAATATTGCCTTCAAGTCCTTAGCATGATCCTATAATATATTTCTAAAACATTTAATCAATTCTCACTAAGTCTTCAGGTCTTTCCCAGCCTCTTATATTTCACCCATCGTCTAGTATAGTCCTCAGCAGAATTCATAATAGAAATGAAGTTCTATCGCCTGTTGAAAGATCCGGGCTTCCTGTATATTTGACCTTTTACTATAACAAATTGTTCAGGTTTTCCCCTAAATATTTTACCCACTGACTGGCATAATTCTCGACAGAATTCATAATAGAAATGAAGTTCTGTCCCAATTGAAAGATTGGGGTTTCCTGTATTTTTGAACTTTTTAAACTGACTGCATTTAGATCTTCATTTTCTTTTTAACTATACATATATCGCCAGTAAGTAAATGGAAGTAAAGTTTAAAGAAGAGGAAGAGCAAGAACACTTAAGAGGATTTTTTTAAATGTTTGATATCCAAGCACAGCATGGTTTTTATAATTGAAAATGTTTAGAAGCAGCAGTAGAGGAATATCTATAGGAAATGCAGGGTGTAGTCCAACTTGAAATATGGTGGAATGCAAAACTGAGTTTTTCTATGATTGTAATGTTTCTAATGTTCAAAGCATCTGTTCCTTTGTTAGCAAATTTGAATTTAAGGAATCGACGGATTGAATCGGAATTATTGTTTTCCCACACGTTGCCGCTTCAATAGCCTGCGCTGGGCAACATCTATAGCTACAAAATCAAGGTTGTACTCTGCAGTTGAAGAATCCAAATGTGGCTTTGCTTTAGCTTCTGCAAATGGTCCATTCAAGAATAGAAACCGAATGAGCTCAGTAAGACTGTGATAAAGACATAATTGTTCATTGACATAAGTAAAAGTGAACCAAATAAGACATCATGTATCTTTGGTCTACTGTATGATCGGTATCGGACAACGCCTACGTCTAGGTCTATTGTTAAAAATTTTCATCACATTCTCACTGGCACATATTGGTTAGAAAGGTTCCCTACAATATTCATATGGACGTCGCAACAATGTATATCATAAATACGAGGGTTGATCAAAAAATAATGTCACAACTATAAAATCTTTAATAATCAAATATGAGGAAAAAATCACACACAAATACCACCATGTATTTTAATTTTTGCATTAAATTTCGTTCGATTATATAAACTACTTTATAATAATGCAATAAGTATTTTCATAGCCCAGTTACCCATTAAATTGCTTATTTCTATCCATAAGCCTCTCATCACTAGAACACCATATCTTATCCTCCTTCAATGAAATAAAAAGTCTGTAAAACAGTTTGTCGTGTGTTGCCACCTTTGGGATGTTTAATAATTTGTTTGAAATTCTCAAAAGTATTGTTAACAATGGCATATAATTTTAGCAGACACAAAATATAAATATGAGAAATAAAGCAATTTTGTAAAGGGAGATAATCCAAAATTCCAGTAATTACAAGTTAGACTTAACAGAAAAATCATGAAAATAGGTCTGAAAACGCTTAAAATATAAAAATACTACCAAATATTTTGGCGGAGGCGGGGTGGAAGGAGGTAAATAACAAACTTGAAAATACGTCCGTCCTCCAAGGCTGTAGGTGGGAGAAGAGGCAGAGTGACGCACCGCGTGGTCGGAATTTTAATTGTTTGATTTTGATTGGTCAATCTCTGCCTCTCCTAAGACATGAAACAAAATGACCATTATACATGTAATACATCACTATACAATATTTCAGACTTGAACATTCAAGGAGGACACTTATTGATTACAATAAAAATTTTAAGTAAACTTAAATTTATTTATATTAATGCAAGAAGTATTTTGATAGCCCAGTTACCCAGTAAATTGCTTATTTCTTTCCATAATCCTCTCTATCTTAAAATTATATTTAGATAAAGACAACATTAAGTATTGTCTATCGCCGCACTGCAAGAATGTTATGATATTACTTCTCGGCACTCATTTTCAGTTAATCAGCATATCTGTTTTACTTGTCATGTGCTTCTTTTAATAATCGTTACTGCCGTTTTGCTATAAAGCTCTTGTTTTTAGTTGTAGTATTGAAATTATTCGAAATTTGTCCAAATATACTTTCTAAAACGATCACATTTTGCGTAAAACTTATCATTAGATTCGAAATGAGAGTAACGTAATGAAGACGTCGGTACATTCTTGCCGTGCGGCGATAGACGAAACCAAAGGTTGTTTTTAATATTTTGTAAATTTTGCAGATATCTTAATGAAATTTTAGGACAAAAATCAAAACATAGATAAAAGTATTAGTAGATATAAGATTCTTAAAATCTTCCGATTAATAAAGATTTATAGCGTTTGTGACATTACTTATGGTATACCTCGTAAGTATTTATAATTTTATTCATAGTTTATACAGTCTGTTAGATTTGTAATTAGGAAAAGAATTGAATTTAGTTTAAATCGACTGTAATGATTTTCCTCGTATATCCTTATTTGCAGTACGATTACATTTGGTATACCTATCCCAATTTATGTATGTTATATACATGTACAGGTAATTGAACGTACATAAAGATTTAAATTTTTATGTTTCTGTGGTAACTGTGCATTATACAGCTTAACAGAATAGTCTACACAGCTCTACAGATACACATGTGTTTCAATTTTCAAATCCTGCATTTTAAAATTCCAAACACCTGAGTTAAATTGACATTAGCAGTATTTATCAAAAGGTAGGTTAAATGTCAAGATCAATGGACTCTAACGTTGGAACTTTTTCAAAATGTATTGCATTGTATGGCAAACAACGCAAATATTTACCTATCAAACGACAAAAATATGCTGTATCTCGGAAACATAAACCGTTTTGAAACAATGGTCAAACATCAAGTTCAAAGGTTAAAAGGTTAAATACATGCAGCCCATAGTATAATGCAATATACCAAATACATATTTCTGTGAGTTCTCAATAAATAAGTTATGACAGATGGACATGACAAATAAGGATAGACATTAGACAGACGGACAGAAAGACACCAGTTAAAGTGATCCCTAAGTGTTGGTTTGCTCTACAAGCGACACAAAAATTTGAGAAATGATATTATACCTTGAAGATGAAGCTTTAGGATACAAGAGTAAGTTATTTTGATGGGTTAGACCTAGTAAATGCAAATCACAATGCTAATTATGAATAAAGTTTACCTTGCGAGGCAATGTACACTCTCTCCTTTTTCATGTTCTGACAAATTCAATTATCAATGTGTAGGATATTTGATATATATCTACTTTACTTTCAGAATATTCTGAATGTATATCAAATGAAATATCATGCAAAACACTTGCATATTTAATGAAATGTTTAATTGATTCATGTATGCATTTGAATGTCTAAATTATTTTTATTTATCATATTCAAATGCATGTTATGCTAGGCGTTCAACACTCGGAATAGTTCTAAATTAATTGGTGGTACCTCATATCTTACCTGTATGTAATTTGCATTAATGTAGTCATTCATTCCATCTCTGAGGACAACTCGTGAGTGATCATCTGTATTAACAACAAATTTTCAAATCAAAACGATATATCGAACTTGAAGGCATAAAAATTCGAGATATCCGATGGTTTGAGATAATAAATGATCCTTATAAAAAGTCCGAATTTATTGCTTTTTTTTTTTTTGGTTTGTTTGTTTGTTTGTTTTGTTGTTGTTGTCTTCTTTTTTTTTTATTTTGTTTGTTTCTTTCTTTCTTTGTTTGTTTTTTGGCTTCGTTATATATTTGTACTTTTTTTACTTAAAATTGTTTCACATCACATTTAATGGCTTTTGTTAGACGGCAATTTATACATTAATAATACACTCAGTAAATAATGTTCTTATGTTTTCAATACATACACGGAAATGTTGTTTTATATCTGTTCTTTTTTGTGTTTTCTAGAAGTTTTCCTACAGTGCATGGTATGTGAGGTTCTTCACCATATGGAATGGACTGAAATATGATCATACATGTAGTTTACAAACAAATAGTAAACGGTCTTACACAGATTGACAGAATGACATGTACAAGTGCATATACAGTGTAACATAACATTAGAAACAGTATATACCAGACTTAGAAAAAAATGCTTATTTCTAAAATTATAAATCAGAGAAGATCAGATTGATAATTTCTTTTCATCAATGATGTATATTTTTTGCAAATGTATTGAAAGGTTGCGCTGCACGTTCTAGCTGCAGTTCGAAGGATTTCAATATTTATCCCTTTTTGGAGATAAAACAGCCATGATCAAATAATGTTCAAAACTAACTGGCTAGTTTTCTTTTTCTTTCAGAATTAGTGGATCATTAAAAGAACTTGTATTTAGATAAGCGTTTAAAAATACAGAGTGTTAAGTGAATTAAATCTAAATTTGGCAAGATGCCTTTTTGAAACATTATTGAAATTTAATAGAAAAACAATTGATAAAAAAATTAAAAACAGAATAAGTAACTCAAGATGAATTTAAATGATTTTAGTAATAATTAAATCGTATTGCATACAGTACATTATAAGACCTCTTGTATTCTTAATCTGTATTCAACTTTAAAATCAATAGAAATAAAAGTATAGAATCATAAACACAATGCATAGGTAAAAAAAATATTTTGAAATGTTTTATTTGTTTGTTTCTTTGTTGTTTAACGTCCCTCTTGAGAATTTTTCACTCCTATGGAGACACCACCACTTGCTGGTGGAGGGCTGCAAATTTATACCTACTAGTATACTAGGCACTCACGGTCATTGAACAGTGAGAGATCTTTTTAGTGCCAACACCTACTACGACACGGGACCTCGGTTTATACGGTCTCATCGTAAGAACCGGTCTCCACGTCCCACAGTGGACTCGAACCCGCGACCTAAGGATCAGCTCCTTACTCCGCGACTCTAGAGCAGACGCTCTAATCACTGCGCCACGCGGGTGAGTATTTTGAATTGAATCATACTTTTAGTACTTTGGAGATGAATTTGTCAGAAATTTTTCAAAAAGTTGAAATTAAAGCTGATGTCCTACAAGGCAATAACAGTAAAAAATATATATATTTTGTGCCTACTTGATACTCTTTTTTGAATTCACTGAAATCATTTGCTGTTTTTAAAGAAATTAAAGTGGCTAGATCTGTTATTATAATATCAATGGCATTGTTGAAAGTGTTCTCAACGTTAAGATATGTGGTCTCCTCTGTGTTGGCTGTCTGTTGGTCTTCTGTAGCCAGAGAATCAATGCTAGAACAAATATTCATTTGACCTGAAAGAAGAAATACTTTTTAAAAAAAATTTTGATCAAAATAATTTTTTGTGGGCAAAACTGGGGTACGAAGGTGTATGTTATTATTCAAATAAATTAAATGAGAGCACGACTTCATACAATTTTTTTTTATCAAAACCCATTTATGCTTGCAAATAAAGAATATATGAAATATATATAGAAAATGTACTTCCACAATGCAAAGCTAAACTTAAATTTTGACAACTCATACATGTATATACCTTCATGAAACGTTTTAAAACATTTTGGTTATACAATACAAAAATGGTTGCGCAACAAACATTCAAGTATCAGTAAACAGCTAAAAATTCAGCTGTGAGATCACCTTCTCTTTCTTCTGAGTGGATGATACTGGGAATGGATGAAAGCTTTTTTCGTCGTATCCTTTACCAATGAGAAATTGACTTATAAACCATAGTACAAACAATACTAAATAAATGTCAAAAGTGAGTATAATGCTAAAATATAATTTTTTGTTAAATATGTCCGATTTCCTTTTCTCAACTCTCCTCGGGTTACAAAACATTTTATACATAAATCGAGGTGGAAAACTCTTACTCAAACATAGTATAAAAATACAAAATTAGGATTACCTGACTACTATAAAACAAATAAAGAGGACAATAGCCACCAGAATCCCTATTCCAGTTCCTGCCAAAACATGCGAATTGGATTGACTCTCGGATTGCTCAGCAGATACTGAAACGAAAGTTGAAAGAAACATGTAATTTCTTATATGAGTCACTGTAATCACTTGCCTTAAAAGACACTAAAGAATATACCTATATCTTGACATCTATCCCCTTTATATTCTGCTTTACAGTCTCCTTGACACGATCCGTTCACGTGATGGCAAGATTCGTTTTTGCAATTCCCGCATTTGCTCGAACATCTGTATCCAAAAAAGCCTTGAGGGCAAACTGTAAGGAAGCAACGAAATTACAATGGAAAAATTTTCTCAATAATGACCATACAATGCGATTGCAGGCATAAGAAAACATATTAACATGTGAAGACAAGAGAACGGTAATTAAATGTTTTAGTGATAAAAATTTTCTGCAAAGAGCATCAAGTATTTAATGTTTTCATGACATGATGCTTTTTTTTTATTCAATGCCAGTTTTTGTTTTTTTTTTTTTTCAAAGAATTATTTTGAACTTAAAAACAAAAAAAAACTACTTGAAAGGGAGCAAACAACCATCTCCCCACTCCACTCTCCTCACCCCCACCTCAAAACCAGACAAAAAATAAAAAAGAAACACAAGAAAGAAGCAAACACGCAAAAGCAAAACAAAACAAAAAACAAACAAACAAACAAACAACAAACAAGCAAACGGATAAACACTCTAAAAAGGTACTTAACAGAACGAAGACGGAAGTTACTAAGTTTGATTAGTTCAGGTTCACAAAATAGGTTTATTGTGAAGATATTAATTTATTTCACATTATATAGATAGATCAAGGTTAAAAAACAAACTATTTACCGTTCTTACACATGAAACCAGTCCAGCCGTCGACACAACCTTGGTTACAAGACCCGTTGATATTATTACATGACCTATCCTGACATGTTTCACATGTTTCGTTGCAATGTAATCCATATTTCCCAACGAGACATTCTTTAATAAAGAAAATTTCGAAAGCAACATTGCATTTCATTTTGCATTTCATTTTGACCATATATTATAATCATAGTTCAAGTTGAATTTACCTCAGTGTGCAAAAGTGACAGAAAAAGATACATTTTGTTAGTATATTTCATAAAACATAAAATTATGTCATTAAAAAAATACAAAGCAATCTGAAAAACAAAACGACATACTTTTTTTACAGTCAGATCCCTGCCACCCAGCGTCACATCCGAGCGGACATGTTCCATTAAATCTGTCACATGTCATGTTAGAAAAACAATGTCTACTACAGTTGTGCTTGCAGTTCTCCCCAAATGTGCCATTCAAACATGCTGAAAATATTTTAAGAATGTCTCTAAGAATCATATATATATATATATATATATATATATATATATATATATATATATATATATATATATATATATATATGTACTCGGGAAATTAGGTCAGAAGGATATATCACAAATGAATAGATGGGGGAATTGAACTATGATATTTTGTTAATTAAGAACAAAAGAGACAGGTTCAACGCATATGTCTATTTTTTAAATATAGGATTTATTTTAACTCAGAAAATATTCAATAAAAATACAGTCGTTATTACCTATTTTATGTTCTTGCATCAATATTTTTATTGAATTAATATTTCCCGCACTTTTTGCCTAACGCAAAGAGCAATTGACTTTGACGTCATAGTACATTTGACTTCACTAGTACGTCTTCATCTATTCCGCTAATCATTGTGTAACGTTACCATGTTGTAAAGCTTCTGAAGATAGAATGAAAGGCCTAAAGCTTTACTGAGGTTTTTCGTGTTTTTCTTTTTTATTTCAAGAGGCCATGTCAGTAAGCACTGAACTTTCTATGGAAAGTCAAAAATATCATTTAAAAAAAAATAGTGTCTATGGATAATTTCTGTCAAAAATAACAAGAAAAATACAAATTTAGTGATTTCAACCATAATCACTGAGTCGTATGCAAACATGCAAATCTGGGCTTTTTAGATGATTTCCTGTTAACAATTCAGATTAATATAAGTAATTTGTCCTTTAAGAAACAATATATCCTTGTTCCACATGGGTGCAGCTGTAAAAGGAAATGAGTCATGCACTACCATGACCTTCTCCTCACCTTAACCTTTGACCCCCTGGTCAAATTATTCTGTATTATATAGTCAATGTCTTATAATTTCTTATCTAAATCTACGTGGTTCTTGATATTTCGAACCTTGCTCAAAATATTTCATACATTGATAGACAGTAAATACTGTTAGACAATTCAAGAAGATAAATTCATGTTCTACTGTTGACCTTAACCAAAATGGCAAGTTCAGTTCATTAATTAAGGTCCAAGTTAAAATTTTTTACTGTTATGACCTCTTCTTGAAATACATGTATTTGAAACATGTGCAAAGTAATGCAACATGAACAACCTTTAGTCAACACTAAATAATGATGCTTCAACATCAATAATGATTAAAACGACCTTGATGTTCCCTAAGATTGTCCTCCCCTGCACTATGTAAAATCTGGTCCCTAATGTTAGCCCCATCCATACATAGAGGTTGACAATCTGAGGGAAAAAACCAAATTCCACATAACTTGGGAATCTTTGCAAATTAATTATAAAATGGATATGATTTCGTCCGGTCGTGCTATTCTTGAAAAGAATATCTGAGAATGTGTACATGTATTCTCATTTAATCTCCATTTTAGCCTCATCCTAGCCCCTGGGACCATAATTAGCACACAATGAAATCTGCACTACCCAAGAATTCCTTGCATAATATGACAGATCCTGGCTCCGCGGTTTTTATTTTTTGCCTATATACCATGATTCCCTGTTGCGGTTTCAACCTTAACCCATTGGCCTTTATTTCATATATCAGGAAGCTTTCACATCATCTTTTTCTTAAGATTAATACAAATGTAAAAGACCCAACCCTATTTTTGGCTTTCCCTGATTATAAATAATCATCGCATGACGTCGTTATTTAACAAAGAGAGTAAAATTGTTAAATAATTTCATTTAAGCAAATCAATTACGTTTTATTTTTTTAAGTTTACTTTGTTAATCACACGAAAGAACAATACCGCAGTCATGGGAAAAAAGGTCTATTTGTGTTAAAATGCATTTCCGGAAGTTATTATTGAAAAACGTTCATTTGGAGTTGTGCACAATCCGAATTTACTCTTCGCCCAGGCGTTCCTTTGAGGGCTAGTTTGAAGTTATGAGCAGTACTCGCTTCTAGTTTTCTTTTTCTTTTACATTATTAACAATTATGCAAAATTATTCTTACGTCGTAGTGTGTGACGTGAAGACTCGTCCTTTGGCTAAAACCGTATAAACCGACGTTCCCTTTCGCGGTAGGTGCTAGTACAAAAAGACCCCTCACTGCTCAAGGGCCGTAATTATAAGTGCTGAGCATAGGTCTAAATTTGCAGCCCTCTACAGCCAATATGAGTGAAAAATTCTCGAAAAGACGTTACCCCCCCCCCCCCCCCACACACACACACAAATACAAGTTTATAGAAAATTCAAGTGCCAATCCTAATTTGCTAAACTTCAAATTAAATTGGCTTAGCCACAATACATTATATCAGTAAAGTATCTATAAATACAATAAGACAATAGCATACAGTTTCTCTTGAATTTTGTTTACGTGTTTCACTAAATATTAGGCGAAATACTTCACCAGCACTTCTTTCTCTTGTGTCTTAAAAAAGTCTCCAATAAGCTTTTAAAAATCCCACAGTGATGGACTTCGCGGTGTATTCCACCATAGGCACTTAGTTTCAGGAATGTGTATTATGTGTTTCTCCTAGGTGTGTCTGAATACATTTATTAATTTATTAAAAAAAAAAGTTGCTGAAATTAGGACTTTTAAATTATATATAATATTTCTGTAGATAAAAAAAGACGAAAGGTTCGACACTCGTCATCTTGGATTCTTAATGTGTGTTTGTGTGTGTTTGGTGTGTGTGTGTGTGTGTGGGGGGGGGGGGGGGGGTCGACGAGTTTTCCAACAAAATTCAGACTATGCGCATAGATTAACATTTGCTGAAAAATATATATTTTGACCAATTTTAAAAACTTGAAAAAGTCGCTGTAAATCAATTTTATGTGAAATTTTCTACTAAATAACTTACGTCCAGTTTGAGTTTTAAAACTTATTCGAATCCAATCTGAGTTTTAAAAATATGTATACTTATTCAATCACTACAATACATGACATATAATGAACCTTTTTTTTTTTAAGGTTTTTGCACCATAGATGGCTTTTACCACTGCAGCAACTGTTAACTATATATGTTACACAAGTGGTGTGTGTCGGCCTGATTTTTAAATGAACTACAATGTATAGAGATAAGAACCGCCCTTATCCACTAACAGCGGATTTTCGTAATCTCTTTGTCACCTATAATTAGAACTGCACGTTACGCAGTATTAGACCAAAATAGCCGAAAGAGAGTCGGAGATTTCCAGTTGCATATTTTAGAAGACACAGAGGAGTTATCTAACTTGCTTAGTGGCGCTGGATCGCGAACGGAAGTAGTATTAAGATGGCAGTAAGCGCTTTGTGCTGAGCTTAGCGCTTAAAAATGATATATCATACTGATTATTATTGGAACAATGCTTATAGTTTTTATTATCAAATACTTGTAATCTTTCCTCTCTGCGGCTTGTACATGTAAATCGTTTATTGAAACTTGTGTATTGATTGGCTATGTATCGTGCTAGACCCGAGCGGTTACCCTATAAACAATTATCGTACTTAATTGGTTTGCGCAAACAGTATTACAAGATTGATGACATATTAATGTTGAAATAACCAAATGTACTGAACACTTATCTAGAGTTGCAATGAGATAAAAATCATAGTTGCAGGAACCAGCTGGGGACGGGGATGCCCATTAATTATTTTTCTGATATATAGTATATTATAGAAAACAAAGTACCTATTTTTATGATCGTGCCTCAATATTCTATAAATATTGTCAAGGAATTTTAACTTGTTAGTTTCCTCCCCCAAACTTAAAATGTTTGGCTGACACCCCCCCCCCCCATTGAACTGATATTGCTTCATACGGGCCTGCAATAAGATCTGATGATCTGTTTTGACTTCTCAATGAATTTTTGCTTGGGGGTGCCCCCCCCAACTGAAAATGTTTGGCTGTAACCCCCCCCCCTCTCTTAAAATTGCTTTCTACGGGCCTGATAAAATAGAAGCAACTATCTTTATCAAGTATACTGTAACAGTCACCCAGACTTAAAAGGAAGTCTCTTGGCTTCATGAACTTGGACACGAACCACTTTGTAATACTTTGTTACTAACACTTGTATACTTTGTAACACTTTCCAAGTCGCTAGTCACGTGATATATTGCAGGCTTATATTTCACACTTAGCACAAATCATCAACTACAAATCAACCCCTTTTTCTTTCTTAACGAAACCGACTAACAAGATCTCTGCTGAACTCACTGTATATAGTTAAAATGTAGCCATTCTGAAATGTAGATATTCTTGATATACATTATAAATCTATTATTTCATTTAACAAGTTATAATGAGAATCTAAGAACATTTTGCCAACAAAATTCAACATTTTTTTTAATGACGTTTGATATCTTGCATCGTTATCTAATCAAATAATCTGTTCGCTATACATATATACAACGATTTCTTGATAGTCAAAACTTAGCAAAGTGGAGAATTGAATCTTAATCCGCCTTCAGATTGGATATATTAGATCTTGAATCTCGGATCAAGTTTTTCTTATTTCGTATTTCAAATCTCGAATTAGATTTCTGGGTTTTCGTACATGTCTGAAAATGCAAAAAAAAAAGATTTGACAACAACTTCCTATATACAAGATTTCTGACAGAGGTCCATAAACTACGTATAAAACGACCAGATTACTTAAAAAATTTACCGTTTTTGCACATGGAACCAGTCCAGCCGTCGACACAACCTTGGTTACAAGATCCGTTGATGTGACTACATGACATACCCTGACATGTTTCACATGTTTCATTGCATTGAAGTCCATAATCCCCAGAAGGACACTCTTTTATGAAGATAGATTCAAAAAATCTCATTCATTGTACTTCCTCTTGAATTTTAATTATCAGTAAATCTCATATATAATCGTTTTAATGAATTTTATTTCATTGTGCAAAATTGACACAATATCCTGTATAATTTATGCTAAACTTTTAGAAAACGTGTTTTGTTAAGAAAGATACAAATGTAATACTAATTGAAAACCAAAACGACATACTTTTTTTACAGTCAGATCCCTGCCACCCAGCGTCACATCCATGCGGACATGCTCCATTAAATCTGTCACATGTCATGTTAGAAAAACAATGTCTACTACAGTTTTGCTTGCAGTTTTCCCCAAAAGTACCCTTCACACATTCTGAAAATAACCTAGAGTTATTTCTTTTTCCAGTCTAAAAATCTTTTTTAAGATACTACCACCGACTTAATAACATGCATCGGTTCTTTATATGTAAATGTTTATGTAGCAGAAAAGGCAATTGTATGCTTTTCATTTTTTGCCTATTCTCTATATTTAATTACAACGTTACATTAATACAAACCCTGAAAACATTGACTGCCTTCCCATCCCTTTGAACACCCATTTGTGCAATTTCCTTCCACATTGTCACACGTCTCATTATCAAAACAGTTTCCACTACATTGATCTTGACATTGAAAGCCGTAGGTTCCATATCCACATGCTAGAAAAAGAACAAGCTATTGAATTGAACATATTTTATTGACAAAGCCAAAAGGATAAGACACAAGTTCTACAACTTAGATAGTCTTCTCCTTATTCAAAATTTTATAACATTGCCATAATAAAGTACAATTATTCTCAGTCACAATTAGTAGTGTCAAAGACTGTAAGCTCTTTATACCAGAATACAATTCTATATACAAAAATTGAGATTTTTTAGAAAATCTACCACATTCTTTTAAAAAAGTATGAATAACTTTAAAAATTTCTACATTTTGCTGATCAGAAAATGAATCTACACCCCATAACATCAAATGCACATCTATAATGTACAAACTGTTGAATGATAATAAATTACTCATTAGAGAATGTCTTGCTGTTGCATATTTTCTACAAACAAAAAACAAATGGTAGGGATCCTCTATTTGTCCACATGAGCAATTTGGATTGTCTATTAAATTACAGCGAAATAGGTCAGAATTTAAAATACAATTATGTCTTAACCTTGTGTGAATAATATTCCAAAATCTCTTTCCAAAAGAGAAATACTTTGGAGGTTTTACAATATTGCTTGACAAAATTTTTTAAAAACATTTAATGGAAGTTGCCTCCCTTATGTCGAGTTTAATTGCATTCCACTTTCTAACTGTGTCCGGAATAAAAGATTTATTGAATAATTCTAATCTGCATTTTGGTAAGGAATAGTTGGAAGAATTTCGAGTAGAGTATTGTGAAATATTGCCTCTAATATCAGGTACTATATTTTGAATGTAAGTTGGTACTAAATTGTTGTGTATTTTGTACATTGTTACTAGATAAGTTCGATTTCTTCTATTTTCCAAAGGTTCCCATCCAGTTTCCAGATAAAGTGAATTTTTGAAAGCAATAAGTGTAAGACCTGTTACTATTCTAGCAGCAAATAATTGAACTTTCTCAAGCTTTTCAATATCTGCCTTTGTACATCCAGACCAAACTTCAACAGCATATTCCAGTTGTGGTCTGATAAAAGAAATATACATCTGGGATAAAATATCCCTTGACACAGTGAATTTTAGTTTTTTCAGTAAACCAAGTTTTTTGTAAGCCTTCTTTACAATGTTATCAATATGTTCAGACCACCCCAAATTTGAAGACAATAGTATCCCAAGATGTGTGTGTTGTGTGACATATTCTAATTGACAGTTCTCAAAAATTAAATTTGGAAATTGTTGCACAGCTTTTAAATGAAAAAAATACAGCTTTGGTTTTCTGTGGGTTGAATTTCAACAACCATTTCTTCGACCATTCATGTAATATTCTAAGATCATGATTAAGATTTTGCTCAATAAGAGTGATATTTTCTGAACATTGTTGTGAAGAATTGTCATCAGCATATAATCTACAAACAGATATCATATTTTGAGCAACATCATTTACATATAGTAAAAATAAGAGTGGTCCAAGTACCGATCCCTGAGGGACTCCAGCTTTTACATAACCTATGGAAGAGAGCAGATTTCTGTACTTGACTTGTTGTGTTCTGTTGCTTAAATAACTTTCAAACCAATTTAGCATATTGCCATTGATTCCATACATTTGAAGTTTATAAATTAAGCCTTTATGCCATACTCTATCAAATGCCTTGGATAAATCGCAAAACACCATACAGCAGAATTTACCTTCATCAATACTTTTCACAATAGAATGGTATATTTCTAGAAGTTGATATACAGTAGAGTGCCCAGGTAAAAAGCCTGACTGATATTTATAAAAAAGATTTTTTGAATGTAGGTAATTGTACACATGTTTGAATATAATTCTTTCAAATATTTTACTTACACAACTCAACAAAGACACAGGTCTATAATTTGAAGTTATAGAGGGGTCATCCTTCTTAAATAGTGGAAGAACATATGCTAATTTCCAACATTCAGGAAATGTTTTTAATGATAATGATTTATTAAATAATATACACAGTGGTTTTGATATAGTATTTTTGCAGGACTTTAACATTTTGTGACTGATGCAATCTGGACCCACTGCTTTATTGACAGGAATTACTGAAATTATATCTGTAATCTCATGTTCTTGTATTTGTATTTCTGGAAATTTATCATTACATCTAATTTCTATATTTGGAAGTTCATGGTCACTATCATCTAAAAATGTGATAGATGTAAAATACTTGTTTAAGAGTTCAATCTTGTCGGTGTCTAGTATTGCAAATCTATCTTTGTTATTGTCATTAATATACTGAATGGGTGGTATTTCACTCGTCGATTTAGTGTGAAAAAAGTCTTTCAATAATTTCCAGTATAATTTTTGATTATTCTTACTAGCATCCTTTAGATGAGAATCAATATTATCGTAGTAATTAGTGATGGCATGTTTTTTCATGTTGTTAACCTTATTTCGTATTTTACGAAAAATAATGCGATCAGATTCTCTTTTAGTTTTTTGTGCTTTTTTCCTGAGTCTATTGCGAATACGCATAGTTTTCTTTAGAAAAGAATCCATCCATGGTTTATCATTTGGCCTTATGGTTACAGTTTTTTCTGGTATGCATTGGTGAATAATAGAATTAAACTTTTCTGTGAAGTTTTTTGTAGCAGTTTCCATGTTTTCTGCATCATCAATAATGCTATTCCAGTCGCTTTGTAATATGAGTGTATTTAGGAGTTCTAAATCTGCATGCTTGTATTCCCATACTTTGCGTTTGTATGCCATATTAATGCTGCTGTTCTGATGAATATATATATAAGTAGCCCTATGATCGCTAAGTGTATGAGCAACATTCAAGGTACCAGAATCATGTACATGTATATTTTCACTAATAATGATAGGATCTATGAGAGTGTCTGTGTTACAAGTGATTCTTGTAGGTTCATGTATGATGTTTGTTAATCTGCAACTGTCCAAAATTGTATGAACTTCATGTGATGTATTTAGTTTTAAGAAATCAACATTAAGGTCACCAAGTATTACAATATTATTAGAGATATCATTGGCTTTTTCAATAGACCAAGAGAACTTTTGCCAAAAGGTACTGCTAGTATGTGGTGGGCGGTAAATACAGCATATAAGAAGTTTTCCCTTTAATTGAGGTATTTCTATCCATAATATTTCAGTATCAGTTGGTTCTAAATCTATTCTACGGCTTGCCTTAATAAAATTGGAGACAAAAATCATTACACCTCCACCATGGGAGTTTCGATCTTTTCTGAAAATACTCTTAAAACCTTCTATAAATAAACTTTCATCTGTTACACTTGGGTCCAGGTGAGTTTCACTAAAACACAGGAAAATCATGAACTAAATACATGAGGGAATCAATCTTATTTCTTATACTTCTGATATTGAGATGTAAAATATCAAGAGAGTTTTCAACATTTGGTCCTGGATTTGTTTCAATGTCAACAAGCTATGTCAACAAGCTATTAGAGACCAATCAGTTTTAAAATCTTTCTTCTTACTTTTTTGAAAGATTAATTACCTTGTGAACATTTGTCTCCTATGTATCCCTTTTTACATCCATTCAAGCAGCTTCCATTTACATTGTTACAAGACTCATTATTGTAACAGTTACCACTGCATTCCTGGGTACAGTTAGAGCCATACCTTCCTGGTTTACAAGGTTCTGTAAATTAGCATTCAATATTAGACTGAAACTTAAAAACATGTACGAATCATTATATAATTTATACATCAAATCCGTGTAAAAAGAAACCATTTGTGTGTGGTTCTAGTCTTGATATTTTTCAGCAAATGATTTGCAAATTGTATGCGATAATATATATATATATATATATATATATATATATATATATATATATATATATATATATATATATATATATATATATATATATATATATATACATTGTGCGGTGAATCAATTGTTTTGAATAGCCTATAACTTGTTTATCAGGCTTGAAAGGAAATGATGTGCATATATATTGCTATTTGATCAATATGAAAATATTTTCGTTTCTTTTGCCCCAGGCCACACCATTGTGAAAAATCTTTTGGCAAAATCCTACGAGTTGGATCATATTGATATCTCTTTCTTTAAGGTCCATAAACCCTCTGCTCACTCATATAAAATATTGCTTTAACACTTATTATTTTCCAAAAGAAATGTATTTTATGAGTAAAATACAAACAATTGTATCATGGCTTGCGGGGCAATTTTGGACAATAAAGACATTTCAACTTGACAGATTTATAAGGGAATAATAGACATTTAATATGTCATTAAGAGTAATCTCTCTTATCAGAGTACCAATGAACCTTATTTGCTGGCAAAGGTCACGTCCTTATCCTTATCACTTTATAGGATAGAATAATTTATGAAAAAGTGCATATTTAATTTTTTTCTTGTTAGATTAACATCTTACCGCAGTTATGTCCACTAAATCCGAGTCGACATTCCTCACAGGTTTTTCCAGTAAAACCTGTTTGACATTGTTGGCAGCCTTTGACTATGTCGCATTTCTCACAAGGATCTCCGCAGCTTGTACAGTTCTCTCCAAAGTGATTTACTTCGCAGCCTAGATATATAGGTACATATATGTTCAAGTATTTATTTAAGTAAAATTCATTAAGGAGGGGTTAACAATCTGTCTGTGCTTAGAGAAAATCAATGCTAAAATATGGACAATTCAAAATAAACATTTATTCGATACATGTATGTTTGCAATTACATGTATGAATAATAAATATATACACTGATCACTTAAATTTACCTTTGTGCTAATTCTTTTTACAATGCTAACTCATGAACAAAATTTAAACTTTATGTAAAATGAATATAAAAACAGTTTATAAATGCTTTACAGCACACAAAAATATTGTTATCTCGTGAGTGGGTATTATTAATTTAGCATCGACATGAATATCTGCTTACTAAATCGTATGAATTACTCAAAGGAGACATATTTAAGTGAGAATCAAAATACACCAATGCATTACACAAAACATTCACAAATTTAAATTTTAATTTCAATAAAAATGCAATAAAATTTAGCTGACAATCGCATAAGAAGACTTTTACTTTATGAACACAATACAAATTTGCTTGGATGTATTATGTTTATTTTTTTTTCAAAAGGCTCTTAATTCTAATATTTTATATTTATGCTTTATTACCATAAACCTCAACTTCACAGACTTCCAAGAAGACCCATGGGATATCCCAAGGACTCGGTGTTTTTGTATAAAACCGTATGTATTGAGTTTCTTGATGACATTTCACTGTAGATGGCATCGGGATAGGTGTAATGTTTGGAGTTGTATCTTTGTAACATGCAGTCCAATTATTGCTTTCTTTTTCATCCCAATACTGAAGATAGTAGCCGTGTAGTCTTTCCGTGTTAACAATTTCACTGCTTCCTGTAAAATTGACAAAGATCTGAAAGATCTGAAAAGTGATGAACAGAAAAGTGTGACGTTGTCTTATTTATAACATAGATCTTGTAACTATTGACTTTTATTAGATTTAGAATTGAAAATCTAGAATAATTGAAATTAAATTTAACTCTATCCACTAATAATAAATCTCGAAATTTGCTATAACCGATATTCGCTCTAGTCAAATAAGTACGTACTAACAGCTAGTGCCCTGTATAGACACAATTTGAGTTAATATGGATGCTCTGAAAGTATTTTTATATGTAAATTGTACGTTCAAAGAAGAGGCAATTACATATGAAGTTAAGAACAATTATTAATATCTCCCAAGTGACATAATATCTACATCATCCGTCTTAAAAACTCCTTTTTAAAAAATTCTTTTCCCACTATCTATCTATCTATCTATCTATCTATCTAATTAAAAGGATACTTACTATCTTTGCGATACCAAAAAATGATTATTTTTAAATTATATTTGATCTTTAGGTCTATCTGTAACCACGCTTCTGATTTCCCTTCGTCTGTATGTGAACAAGAACCCCCACCTATAGACAGCTTAGTAGGGTCTCCATCGATTGCTCTGGCAGCAATGTTATCACCATACGTGGAACTTTGTGTCGCTGCAGTTGTACTAGGATCTACAAGCTGTCCTAAAATGTATGAATTATAGAGAGTTATTTTTTGAAATGTTGAAATCCTATTTTTTGGAAGCTAGCGTTCTTGAAAACTTGAAGGAAAGCATATGATGTAAAACCCATCCTTAATAGAAATTATGGAAACAATCTTTTTCTATGACATCAATGTGAAAAAAATCTAGATATAATGTCAGTTCATGAATAAAAATATTTTAAAAAATATAAATTATTTTCCTTAAATCTTGGTCCTTTGGATAAATCATATCCATGATTTTGCTTTTACAAATCAAGGAAAGAAAATCAGTTTCTGACAATGAAATTTTAATATTTACTTTACGACTTCAATAATATATACTCAAAGAAATAATATTTTAAGCTTTTAAAGTATTCAAATACATTGTGTGTATATGTTTAAATGGTGACAAAATTAATAAGCTTGAACTTCAGTGGGGAAGAAGGGTTTCTTGAAATAATCTAACATACTGCTGATTAAGTTTTTGTTATGATAAATTTATAAATATTTGGCTTATACTTCTTCCCTTAAGTCAAGAAATCGTATTTGGAAAAGGCAGTCCCGCTTGGTCACAAACTGAAAATGGCAGATTGAAGCTGGGTCAACATATTACTTGCAAGTGTTCCAGAATTTCATATCAAAATTATATTATCAAAAACTTTTTGTTCATCAATTGCAAGAAAAAAAAAATAAAAAATTATATATATATATATATATATATATATATATATATATATATATATATATATATATATATATATATATATATATATATATACATGAATATGTTATAAACAACATCTAAATTTTAATGACAAGCAGTATGAAGATAAAAAGCTTAGCAGCTACTTATGACCAGAAATTAACCTTTTGGAATTAATATAGATTGCCATAGAGGGACGTATGTAAAATATGTACAATATTCGAAAACTGTACCAGGATTAGAAGTCTAAAGATAGATAATCATTTAATGTACTCACTGTATCCGAAAGTGGAGAAGGAAAGTACAGCAAAATAAAGTATCACAATTATCCCTTCAATTGACCCCATTATCCTGCATGCCTTTTCCGGGTACCTGCAGAAGAAAAAAAAATTGAGATGCAATTCATTTACTCTATTCTATTTGTTTTGTTTCTGTTCTTTAATCTTTGACTTCAATTGTGCGTTTTCACATTATAAAAGAACATGCATAACACAACTAGTCAACGAAAGTGAAAAAAAAAATGTTTGACACTTCGGCCATCTGTAAAAAAAAATTAATGTTTGTTTGCCCTCTCCCGACTCAAGATAAAAAAATAAGTCGATAGATAGGTAGAGATTTTTTTTCAGTAATTTTGAATATCAATGCTGAATTTTCAGAAGTTATTGAAATTGAAGGTTTAAATAAAATTAAAATAGTTGTTGACGGGATGAGAAAATTTAAGAATGAAAAACAAATCATCTCTTTTATGTTAAAAAAAGCTTTTGTCTTTTTTGTCAGTCGGACGGGAGAGGGCAAGCGAACAATTGTTAAAGATTGATTGACCGCTTATGTGGTTATGTTTGCGCGATGCATTTTTCTCTCATTGTATATCGGTTAAAAAAATGATAAAAATTAATCTTGCATATATCAATTATCCATAAATCATTTATGAGATTTTATTTAATACGATAATGTACTAACATTTTTAGAAAGAAAAGTGATATTTTTTATTGGATAGCAAAGGTTACTATGGCAGTAATACTGATATCTAATTGATTCTATGTTTTCAAATGTTTCTATTTTTTTTTTACAGAGCACATTTCTTTTAAACTAGAGAGCAATTATTAAAGGCAATGGTGTAATCTAAATTTTCAAAAAATTCAAAACGTATTCTAATTTTGAGCCTTGCTACAGAAATTATACGAAAAAAAACCCATAAAACTGAAAAGTATTCTTTTTCTTTGGATGTGAATGATTGTATATAAATTTCCAACTTCTTTTTTTTTTGGAAATGTACAAATAACTACCATGACTTTAAGTTTTGACCACCATACTTGTAACCCAAAAAACTAGATGCAAGTAGCTCCAAACTCTTAACATATAACCGGAAACTTTTACATAACATAAAATGATGTTTTTACCCCCCTCTTTCTATTCTTCATTTTCATTGGTTAAAAGTTTTGTTATGTTATAAATCGAAACCAAACACGGGAAGGCAAGGGCTGATAAAGTCGGACATCGACAGTGAAAGTCGGACATGTAGAATTTTAAGTCGGACACATACTGGTTTCGACATTTAAAGTCTAATTTTCTTCATTTTTAGGCTAAATCATCTTTAGGGAGTAGGACACGTAGCATCGGAGGGGGGGGGGGTGCACCCCTCACTTTTTTCCCCAAGCATTACTTTTCACTATTGAAAATTTTCAATGAAAGGCTGATTGCCCCACCATCACCTTTTTAGGTCACCTGAGTCACTCAGGTGACCTATTGCTATCCGTTCTCGTCCGTCGGCGTGCGTCGTGCGTCGTGCGTCGTGTGTTAACATTTGAACATTTTTAGCTTCTTCTCTGAAACCGCTTAACCAATTTCAACCAAATTTGGCATATAGCATCTATGGGTGAAGGGGAACAAAAATTGTGAATTTCATGGTCCCTGCCCCCCCCCCCCGGGGGGCCTGAGGGGTGGGGCTAAAACCACCAAAAATAATGCAATCTTTAAAAATCTTCTTCTTTACTCCAGGACATCAAGCAGTCAAACTGTTTGCATCATTGTAACAAGCATTGAGCCCTCTACCAAAATTGTGAAATTCATGGCCCCAGGGTCAGGGGTTCTGGCCCCAGGGTGGGGCTATATAGATCATATAGTGAAAGTGCATTATTTCTTTGAAAATCTTCTTCTCTGCTCCTGGGTATTAAATAAAGTAACTTAGTACATAGTTATGAAGAGCAAGAGTGCCTCTTCCAAAATTGTGAAATTCATGGCCCCAGGGTCAGGGGTTCTGGTGTTAGGGCGGGGCTCTATAGATTATATAGTGAAAAAGCATAAATTCTTTGAAAATCTTCTTCTGTGCTCCTGGGTATTGAATAAAGTAACTAAGTACATAGTTATGATGAGCAAGAAGTCCTCTTCAGAAATTGTGAAATTCATGTCCCCTGGGTCAGGGGTTCTGGCCCCAGGGTGGGGCTATATAGATCATATAGTGAAAGTGCATTATTTCTTTGAAAATCTTCTTCTCTGCTCCTGGGTATTAAATAAAGTAACTAAGTACATAGTTATGAAGAGCAAGAGTGCCTCTTCCAAAATCGTGAAATTCATGGCCCCAGGGTCAGGGGTTCTGGTGTTAGGGCGGGGCTCTATTGATTATATAGTGAAAATGCATTAATTCTTTGAAAATCTTCTTCTGTGCTCCTGGGTATTAAAAAAAGTAACTAAGTACATAGTTATGATGAGCAAGAGTGGGTCTTCCAAAATTGTGAAAATCATGGCCCCAGGGACAGGGGTTCTGGCCCCAGGGTGGGGCTATATGCATCATATAGTGAAAGTGCATTATTTCTTTGAAAATCTTCTTCTCTGCTCCTGGGTATTTAATAAAGTAACTAAGTACATAGTTATGAAGAGCAAGAGTGCCTCTTCCAAAAATGTGAAATTCATGGCCCCAGGGTCAGAGGTTCTGGTGTTAGGGCAGGGCTCTATTGATTATATAATGAAAATGCATTAATTCTTTGAAAATCTTCTTCTTTGCTCCTGGGTATTGAATAAAGTAACTAAGTACATAGTTATGATGACCAAGAGAGCCTCTTTGAAAATTGTGAAATTCATGGCCCCAGCGTCAGGGGTTCTGGTGTTAGGGCGGGGCTCTATAGATTATATAGTGAAAAAGCATAAATTCTTTGAAAATCTTCTTCTGTGCTCCTGGGTATTAAATAAAGTAACTAAGTACATAGTTATGATGAGCAAGAGAGCCTCTTCTAAAATTGTGAATTTCATGGCCCCAGGGTCAGGGGTTCTGGTGTTAGGGCGGGGCTCTATTGATTATATAGTGAAAATGCATTAATTCTTTGAAAATCTTCTTCTCTGCTCCTGGATATTTAATAAAGTAACTAAGTACATAGTTATGATGAGCAAGAGTATCTCTTCTAAAATTATGAATTTCATGGCCCCAGGGTCAGGGCTTCTGGTGTTAGGGCGGGGCCCTATTGACTATATAGTGAAAATGCATTTATTCTTTGAAAATCTTCTCCTCTGCTCCTGGGCATTAAGGTGATAAACTAAGTACATAGTTATGATGAGGAGGTGGGCCTCTTCCAGAACTGTGAAAGCCATCGCCCCTGGG